AGAGGCCTTCCACTAGCTCTTAAACTTTTGGGATGCTTAGTGTACAAGAGAGATCAAGATCAATGGAAAAGTGAATTGGATAAGCTGGGGAAAATTCCTAAGTCAGAAATTATTGATTTGCTCAAAATAAGTTATGATGGACTAGATGAGATGAACAAGGATATACTTCTTGATGTTGCATTTTTCCATACGGGGAAGGAAAAGGAGGAAGTAATTAAAATACTAGCCAGTTGTGGCCTATGTGGTTGTGTTGGGATAAATGATCTCGTTCAGAAATCACTCTTAACTATATCAAATAGGAATGTTGAGATGCATGATTTGATACAAGAAATGGCATTGGAAATTGTTCGTCGAGAGTGTCCTGAAGAGCCTGGTAGACGAAGTCGGTTGTGCAATCATGATGATATCTCTCGTGTATTCATAAACAATACGGTAAGAAGTTTTATAAAAGATACTGAGTTTTGGAAGATTTATGATTTTTCTTTTAACACAGTATTAAACTTAATTAATGATATCTTTGATATATTCATAAACAATATGATAAGAAGTTATATAAAGATAGTTTTGGAAGATATATGATTTCTCTTTAACACATTATTAGACTTAAATGTGGAATTAACTTTTCTTTTACTATTCTTAATTATAGGCAACGGACAAAATTAAAGGCATCAGATTACGCATGGCGACACTTGAAATGGCAAATTGGAATTGTGAAGCCTTGTCTAAGATGCTTAACCTGAAATTTCTTGAATTGGACAATGTGATCATTTCTTCAAGCCCCAGAATTCTTCCTAATTCCTTGAGAAGTATCAAATGGAGTTCGTATCCTTCCGAGTTTCTGCCATCAGGTTTTCAACCGAATTTCCTTATTGCACTTGAGATGCCTAAGAGCAAACTTGTTCGGCTTTGGGATGGAAGAATGGTAAGAGTAGTGACCATATGCCATTCTAGAAATTAGTTTTTTTATATATTTTATTTTAAATATTTTGTTTTAAAAAATAAAATAAATCTGAGCTAATTATCTATTCTACCGTTGTTTATGAATTGTACAGGACTTTCCCAAATTGAAAAAAATGAACCTTTCTTACTCTGAAAAGTTGACCTCAACCCCGGATTTCAGTGGCATTCCGAATCTTGAGGTGTTGTATTTTGGAAGTTGTACGAATTTGGTTGAGATTCGCACGTCAATTGCAGATCTCAAATGTCTTATACGATTGGAGCTTAGTTATTGCTCAAAATTGAAAAAGATTCCAGAATTTTCAGGGCAAATGAAAAATTTGTCAAATCTTAGTTTACAAGGGACGTCCATTGAGAAATTACCTTCATCAATAGGATGTTTGGTTGGCCTTACTTTTCTGCGTCTAAATGATTGCAAGAATCTCGCGGGTCTTCCGAGTGAAATTTGTAATTTGAAGTCTCTTAAAAGGCTCTGGGTGTTTGGATGCTCAAAAATTGACAAACTCCCAGAGAACATGGGGGAGATGGAGTCTCTTACAAGGCTTGACTTGTGTGGAACTTCTATAAGACAGCTGCCACGCTCTGTTGTTGGTTTGAAAAAACTAGACTCGCTAGTTTTGGGTAGACGTGGATCACAGCCTAATAAATCAAGGTTTTGGTCGGGCCTTTCCAGTTTATATCGAAACAGAAATGGTTTTGTGTTAAGTTCGTTAGATGATTTATTGTTTTTGAAGTATTTGAATCTGAGTAATCGTGGACTTTGTGAAGGGGATCTTCCCAGTTATATTGGCTGCTTGTCCTCTTTAGAAGGATTAGAGCTTAGTGGAAACAATTTTGTTAGCCTTCCTGCAAGCATTGGCTGCTTGTCCTCTTTAGAATCATTTCAGCTTAGTGGAAACAATTTTGTTAGCCTTCCTGCAAGCATTGGATGTCTTTCTAAGCTTCAGTTATTTTGGGTGAATGGGTGCCAAAGGCTTGAACAATTGCCAGATCTTTCTAAGCTGATCTCATTAGTGAATATAGACATAGCCGGTTGCACTTCCTTAAAAATGTTACCACATCTTTCGTCAAATTTCTCATTAAACGAAGAAGTTTCTTGTATGTTTAATTGTGCCAATTGCTTTGTCTTGGTTGACAATGAAGGCTGCGATAGTATAATACTGAAAATGCTACAGCGATACCTTCAGCTTCAGCTTCAGGTTCTCTCTCTCTGTCTGTCTCTCTTTTGTTGTTTGCTATAATAATAATTACAACTTACTAACCTCATATATATCTATGTATATGGTACAGCAAATCCCTATGCCTTATGAGCAATACGAATTCGAAATTGTAACTCCTGGAAGGAAAATTCCAGAGTGGTTCAGTAATCAAAGTTTGGGAGATTCCCTTGTTGTAAAATTGGCTCACATTTAGTATGCAAGCGAAGGAGTGAGCGACCGGTCGCAAGGTTTGGGCGACCGGTCGTTTAGAAGCAGATTCGAAGTCTGAAGAATTCGCAGAAAGCGACCGATCAGCGACCGGTCGCCCCTGTGCTGTGCTGATGTTTTCCTTACGTGTTTTCAACTACTTTTTCGGTGGCTATCGCTTTCCACAAGATTTCAGAGGCTTAGTGGGTCACTTCTGAGGTAAAAGAGGGTTGACTACCTGCTGGATAGTTGGGAGAGCACTCATTGCCAATTGGTTGTCTTGCTTTGAAGAATCCATTCTCCATTTTCTGGTTTAGTGGAAGGTGGCTGAAGGGGGATTTGTTTACTTACATGATCTGCTCTTTAGTCTAAGTGGGAGACTAAAGGAAGGAACGTGGAAGACTAGATGGTGCCTTATCTTGTGTCCATTGGTTTGTGTAGGTAATGGAGATAAAGCAAGACATTATAAGATGAGAAAGCAAGTTGAAGTTAGGTGTGGTTAATCTCAAGGTGGTCAAGTAGCTGGGTGCTATTGTGTTCAAAGGAGGTTAACTAACCAAGGGAGAACGTGAGGGAGAGCAATCAGTTCAAGTTTAGAGCTGAGTTGGGGTCTTAAGAGTCTAGACACCAAGGGAGGGAAACACCAAGGGTTGTGAGAGTGTTCACAAGTGCATCAAAGTGTTGAGCAAGGGGTGTGAGAGAAAAGAGAGCTTGGGGAGAGAATAGAGTTCCAAGGGGGTTTTCTGTGTAAAACCAAAGTTGTAATTTATTCTTTCATGAAGTTAATTTCTCAAGGGGATCACCAAGAGGATGTAGGCAATTGCTGAACCTCTATAAATTCTTGTGTCTCTTTGTGCTTGGTTGTTGTCTCAAGTGTGTGTGTGTGATTCATCCATCATTTTGTGTGTCACAAAGTCCATCAACATCAAGATCATTAGGGGAGTGAGTGAAAGTGTTTGTCATTTTTTCACAACATCCCTAACTGTGGAGCTACCTCTGGATTCATGTACCACGTGGATCGGAATTGCTTTATGTGCTGTGTTTGAAGTTCAGGCGCATCTTTCTGAATTTCTTGGTTTTCAAATTGGCTGTTCCCTACTGCCTCTTGAATTATTTTCAAAAGGTTTTAAAATAGGCGATGTTGTGTCAGATCACCTTTGGGTGATTTTTGTATCTCGTGAACAACTTGAGAAGATACGGGGTCAGGTTTGCTTCACAACTTATTATCTTCATCAAGACAGAAGGTGGGAATACAAAAAAACTGGCGCGAGTGTGAAGAAGTGTGGGTTTCGTTTGGTGCACGAGCAAGATGTGGAACAACTCAACCAGATGATGATGAACAAATCCATCATCAAGAGCACTACTACTTGTCCTACCAAATCAGCTGATGCACAATAGGTCAACAACGCCACGATGACGAGGACGCTGGTCCCAGTGGAAGTGGTAGCTCTCACCAAAAATCTCTCTTCTGCAATACCTATGCTCTTTCCAAAGGGTTTTTAACAAAACTTGTAAAGATTTTCTCCCTCTTTTTAACAACTGCAGTTTTTATGAAATCTTTCAACAATACCAAAAAATGGGGGTGCATGGGACTTTTGATTTGGAGAGTAACCACTTTGATTTTTTACTTAGGCCTTGCACCCTCATATTTTGAGTTATTATTGCAAGGTTTAATAAAAACTGTCATTCTTAAAAGAGGAGCTAAATTTTTGCTAGCTTTGTTAAAAACTCCTCCTCCTCAAATGTCTCCACATAAATACTTGAAAGGCCAAAAACGCTATTCTCACAATTGATAGTAGTAAGTTACCTCCATCTGTCTTACAAAAAAGGTTTTTTGCTATCATTAGATTCATCATTTATTGTTTCTTTGATGATAATTCCCCTCATCTCTGTCTCTCTCTGTCATATTGGTCGATAACATGAGCTAGATATTATATGCATCTGAGAAGGAACATTTCTTTGTTAACTACTGCAGAGCATTGATTAACTCATGTTGCTGCGTATTATATCCAGATCATGATGAACAAATCCATCATCAAGAGCACTACTACTTGTCCTACCAAATCAGCTGACGCACAAGGTCAACAACACCACGATGACGAGGAGGCTAGTCCTAGTGGAAGTGGTAGCTCTCACCAAAAATCTCTCTTCTGCAATACCTATGCTCTTTTGCTGGTTCTCCCACTGTTTTTTTTATTTGACTCTATATTCCTTGTTTTGTTTTAGGAGCAAATCTGAATTTCTCTCAACTGGTAAAGATTTTCTCCCTCTTTTTAATAACTGCACTTTTTATGAAAATTTTCAACTACAGAGAGAGAGAGAGAGAGAGAGAGAGAAATAGAAATAAAGAATGAGTGAATATAAAAAAGGGTGAAATTAAAATAAGAAAAAAAAGAAAAAAGAAAAAAAGAAAAAAGTTTACGCCAATCTGGTCGATCTTCTTCTCGGTTGGATTGGATTTGGACCCAATTTTTAATTTTTCGAATGTTTAATTTTAAAAATGGTGGGGGGTGGAGCCCACGTGAGATTATTCGCCGAAGAGCAGAGCTCTAGCTCTTCCCATATCACGTGATGGACGGTCGTGATTGGATTAGCGTGTAGATTTTTGGGAGCTTTTCGTTCGGTTTCTGGCACCCGGTCGCGGGTTTTGGCTCCATCAACCCGTCAATTTTCCCACCTGCACGGGACATGTCATTTTTTATTTTTCTTTATTTTTATAAAAAAAAATTAATATTTTTCTTTCTTCCTTTTCCTTCCTTATTTTTTTCCTAACCAAAGAAAATGCAAATGAGTCAAGAAATATTACTTACAAGAAGAAGATTGTTAATTTAAGCTCTTGATGTTAGCCTAACTGGTGGTATGAAGTTTACGATAACCAAAGTTAAGATTGAGATAGGTTAGGAGTTCAATTCCCTCTAATGTAACAAAGAAAAAGAATGTTAACTCAAAATTCGCTTATTATAGGTCTTCTTTGTAATTGTAAGATTCGCTTATTCATACTTAAAATGTTGTTTAGCTCGCTTAACATCAAACCAACTTGATGTTCACCATCATGAATTTAATCTTAAGATCATTGTTTTTTTAAAATTTAAAACAAAGGGTAAATTCACCTCGTACTCTTGTCTTAGATTCCAAATGTTCCACCTTTTTCAAGTACCAAATGAGAGACACTTGAACACTTAATACATTTAGTTCTTAGCATTGTTAGCATCCCTTTGCATATTGCCAACAATCTCACAAATTTGGAACCCTTGCACCTAATTACCTTGGTGGGACGTTTCCTTTCTTCTGCATTGACAATATGTGATCTCTGGCAGTGTGAATACCTCAATTTTCAACACTTCAACAAGTCAAAAAACCAACCCAAATGTCACTCTCTCTTATAACATTCAAAGACAGAAGAAAGCAGCAAACTTTTTATACTGATATCAATTTATCTTTCTCATAGAAACCACTGGTGCAAAGGAACTCCCAGGTCCCTCACCCTTCCATACAAAGCAATGCATTCCCAGTAAGCCCTTTTGCTCCCATACGTCTTTCCATTTTTCTGCTACCATCCATTATTGCACTCCAAAAACAATTCATCTACCAAGCAGATTGTCTTCTTCTTTATCATTTCCACGACCATTTCTGCTTCTGCTTTCATCACAACATAGTCCTCTTCCCTCACATTTTTCTTTAGCCAATCCGATACATCATTTTGTGGCGGTGCCACCGCTGTGCTTGAGGCTTCTTCAGGCTCTACTTCTAGGTTGTAAACTTCAAATTCTTTATCCATTTTTGGATAGTTTTGCTGAAACCATTCAGTCACGCCGCTGTTGTCCTCATTTAAGTCCACACGACACGACCATATATATATGGTAATATTTTTTTCCAAACTTATATTGTTAATGTTGTTTTGTTATGCATGTGTTGTCAGATTATGAATTTAAACCTAATATTTATATAATAATCAATTTGATTAATTGTCAATTTTTGAATTTTGCAACATATATATTCATCTTGTGTTCTCAGCCAGTCTGGAATTAAAACATTACATGCATATATTTAACATTCATGAACGTATCTTTTTTTTTTTATAATGTACACATCTAGTTTTCGTCTAGATGTCAACACTATAGTTTTTTCTTAATGATATTCTACTTTAATTCAATCCAAACTACGAAGAGGGGGATTCGAACTCAGTTTTTTCAATTTTACTAATATATTTAGTTTACAAAATATCACAAAAATATTTTCAATTATAGTTTGATAGATGTGTAAGAATGACGTTATACTTTATAAATTTTTTTTAATATACACAAAGCGATATTTGGGGAGGGAGGAATCAAACCTATGACGTTGGATACATGTGTAAATGCTCTCAACCAACAGAACTACAATCCCCTTACTAAACTTTATAATTCTTAATATATCTTAGTTGTACTTATTTACAATCATGATCAAGTATTGATGATAACATCGATAGTTTTCTCATCAACAACGAGTATTAGTATTATATATAATTTTTGTTTGCGCATTTAATTCAAAATTCCATTGTTGACCTTGTTAGTAGATAAACTTTGGTCTCTCAAATTTGGGTGGTATTGGTTCGTGTCAGGCCGAAAATGGCGTGTTTACAGGACCCATGTAGCATGTCTTTTCTTCCCTGTAGGTGTGAAAGAAAGCTTATTGAAAAGATTGTTTAAATGTTGAATTCCTCTGTTTCTCTCTGTTGAAATACAAAACATGTTCGACTATCGATATTTTCCTCAACGTGTATAATATGATTTCCCCACTTGTCTGACTTTTTGTTTCATTTTCTTTGCTCTGAAACTTGTTTCCTCAACGTCCTTATTTTCTTTGCTTACTAAATTTTAATTTACCCAAAAAAACCCTCTCTAAATTTTAATCCTTTTCTTTATGCAAGCCGTTTATCATCATCTTCTATTTATTAGTTGAGTGTGTGGATTTTTAAAGATTTAATTAGCGAAAGGCTTATTTTCATTGAGTGTTTACAGCAGCAGCAGATTGCCAAATGGCATTGAGCACCCAAAGAGACTCTGCCTTTCTTCCTTCACCTAATCAGTCTGCTCCTCAACCGAACCACGATGTGTTTTTGAGTTTCAGGGGTGAGGACACTCGAAATAGCTTTGTATCCCATTTATACCACGAATTGCAGCTCAGGGGCATTAAAACATTCAAGGACGATCCTAAGCTCGAAAGAGGGACACATATTCGTTCAGGGCTCTTCAACGCAATCCAAGAATCGAGGCTTGCAATCGTTGTTCTCTCTCCAAGCTATGCTTCTTCTACCTGGTGCTTGGATGAACTTACAAAGATTCTCCAATGCATGAAATCCAAGGGCACAATTCTGCCAGTATTTTATAATGTGGATCCCTCCCATGTGAGAAAACAAAGCGGCAGTTTTGCGGACGCCTTCGCTGAGCATGAGAAAGACATCGATAAGGTGAAGCGCTGGAGAGATGCTTTAACAGAAGTAGCCAATTTATCTGGGATAGATTCAAAGAATGAGTAAGCATGAATGAACAACTTCTCTATATGTCATAACAAAACCCATGGCTTACATTTTTAACTTTTCTTCCTTGTAGGTGTGAAAGAAAGCTTATTGAAAAGACTGTTGAATGGGTGTGGAGTAAAATGCATCGCACATTCAAATTGCTGGATTCCACAGAGTTGGTGGGAATTAAGTTTACACTTGAGCAAATAGATTTGCTTTTAGCTCCTACGGATGATGTTCGCTTTATAGGGATATGGGGGATGGGCGGCATTGGCAAGACGACCATTGCTAAGCTAGTTTATGAGAGCATTTCTATTAATTTTGAAGTTAGCTGCTTCCTTGCTAATGTCAGAGAGGTTTCTAAACATGGGAATCTTGTTAATCTACAAAGACAGCTTCTTTTCCCGATCTTGAAGGAACAAATTACTCAAGTTTGGGATGAACAGTGGGGGACCTATTACATTAAGAATTGCTTATGTAATAAAAAGGTTCTTCTTATTGTTGATGATGTGAATGAATCAAGCCAACTAGAAAAAATTGCTGGAAAAAAGGATTGGTTTGGTAAGGGGAGTATAATCATAATTACAACTAGAGACGAACGGTTGCTAGTTAAGCATGATATGCAGGTATCATATAAGGTAGAGGGATTAGGTGATGATGATGCTCTTGAGCTCTTTAGTCTAAATGCCTTTAAACAAAAAGAGCCTGAGGAGGGTTTCTTGGAATTGTCCAAGGGTTTTGTAAATTATGCCAGAGGCCTTCCACTAGCTCTTAAACTTTTGGGATGCTTAGTGTATAAGAGAGATCAAGATGAATGGAAAAGTGTATTGGATAAGCTGCGGAAAATTCCTAAGTCAGAAATTATTGATTTGCTCAAAATAAGTTATGATGGACTAGATGAGATGAACAAGGATATACTTCTTGATGTTGCATTTTTCTATAAGGGGGAGGACAAGGAGGAAGTAATTGAAATACTAGACAGTTGTGGCCTATGTGGTTGTGTTGGGATAAATGATCTCGTTCAGAAATCACTCTTAACTATATCAAATAAGAATGTTCAGATGCATGATTTGATACAAGAAATGGCATTGGAAATTGTTCGTCGAGAGTGTCCTGAAGAGCCTGGTAGACGAAGTCGGTTGTGCAATCATGATGATATCTCTCGTGTATTCATAAACAATACGGTAAGAAGTTATATAAAAGATACTAAGTTTTGGAAGATTTATGATTTGTCTTTAACACAGTATTAAACTTAATTAATGATATCTTTCATGTATTCATAAACAATACGGTAAGAAGTTATATAAAAGATACTAAGTTTTGGAAGATTTATGATTAATTTTTAACCTGAAATTTGACTTAAATGCGTAGTTAAGTTTTCATTTAATATCTTAATTACAGGCAACGAACAAAATTAAAGGCATCAGCTTAAGCATGGCAAGACTTGAAAAGGCAAATTGGAGTTGTGAAGCCTTCTCTAAGATGCTTAACCTCAAATTTCTTGAATTTGATAATGTGATGATTTCTTCAAGCCCCAGAATTCTTCCTAATTCCTTGAGAAGTATCAAATGGAGTCGGTATCCTTCCAAATTTCTCCCATAAGGTTTTCAACCGAATTTCCTTATTGCACTTGAGATGCCTAAGAGCAAACTTGTTCGGCTTTGGGATGGAAGAAAGGTAAGAGTAGTGACCATGTGCCATTCTAGAAATTAGTTTTTTTATAATTATTTTAAATATTTTGTTTTAAAAATTAAAATAAATCTGGGCTAATTATCTATTCTACCGTTGTTTATGAATTGTACAGGACTTGCCCAACTTAAAAAATATGGACCTTCGTTGCTCTGAAAAGTTGACCACAACCCCGGATTTCAGTGGCATTCCGAATCTTGAGGTGTTGTATTTTGGAAGTTGTACGAATTTGGTTGAGATTCACTCGTCAATTGCAGATCTCAAATGTCTTGGATGTTTGAATCTTGATTTGTGCTCAAAATTGAAAAAGATTCCAGAATTTTCAGGGCAAATGAAAAATTTGTCAAGGCTTAGCTTAGTTGCGACGTCCATTGAGAAATTATCTTCATCAATAGGATGTCTGGTTGGCCTTACTCATCTGATTCTAATCAATTGCAATAATCTCGCGGGTCTTCCGAGTGAAATTTGTAATTTGAAGTCACTTAGTGCCCTCATTGCAAATGGATGCTCAAAAATTGACAAACTCCCAGAGAACATGGGGCAGATGGAGTCCCTTACAGACCCTGAATTGTATGGAACTTCTATAAGACAGCTGCCACGCTCTGTTGTTGGTTTGAAAAAACTATACAGGCTAGATTTGGGTAGAGGTGGATGTTAAGTTCATAATTTCATACATATACATGCCCTATTTACTTACTTCTTTTGCTTAGTTTCTTAGATTTCTAAGTTATTTGCCTCCCTTTGTGTGTTTTGTAGGCAAATAGTGTTGGTTTTAAAACATTTTGAAGAAGTTCATTTGAATATTAAACATGCATTTAATCAAATTAATCGCAGCGGAAGAATATGGTGGTTGTTTAAATTCAAAAACAAAACTTCTTCCAAGTATCTTAAGCCATGAACATTGATATGTTTTTCATAAATGAAAATTCAAGAGAAAGGATAAGATCTAATTACCCTTGAAGCAATTATATGAACCAAGTTGTGTTTTGGTCTTCTCTTGATGATTTTCCTTTGTTGATCTCCTCTTGATCTTTCTCCTCCTTGTGAGCCACAAAAGTATATGGCCTCTAAGTCTCCACACCAATGGAACCTTGAGATGAGAAGAGGTATCTTGAGAATACAAGGATGCTAGTACAAGATTCTCAAGATTAGTTTCAATCTAAACCACTTTGAAAGAAGATTGTGTTTCACTCTTGAAAACTCACAACTATCTCTCTTTGATCTCCCAAACCTCTTTGGTTGATGTTGGATTGTGTTTGTTGTCTTAATGAGCTTCTGGAAACAATTCCCATACACTTGCACTTAACCATTTTCGGCAAAACCCCATTGGGCTTCCAAAATTGGGCCTTATGACACTTAAGCCATAATTTAGGTGTCTTAAGTCCATGGGCTTGATACCCAACCATTTGGGCTTCTCATTAACTATTA